GTAACAACTTCTGTGCCCTCCATCTGTGTGAGTCAAGGTTGCACACACCCCTCACTTACCTCATCGGGTGTTTGGAAATGGCATTGACCTCAGTACTGCCGGCCCCTTCTATCTTTTTAATTTTTTTTCTTTGTGGATACTTTTTTGGGCAACCTGTAGAGCAGCAGGAGTTCACAATACTATAGAATAGAATAGAATAGAATAGAATATAGAATGCAAAATAGAATGGAATGGAATGGAATGGAATAGAATAGAATAGAATAGAATAGAATAGAATAGAATAGAATAGAAGAATAGAAAATATGGAATGGAATGGAATAGAATATAGAATGCAGAATAGAATAGAATAGAATAGAATGTAGAATAGAATAGAATAGAATAGAATAGAATAGAATAGAATAGAATAGAATAGAATAGAATAGAATAGAATAGCATGTAGAATAGAATAGAATATAGAATGCAGAATAGTAGAATAGAATAGAATGCAGAATAGAATAGAATAGAATGTAGAATAGAATAAAATAGAATAGAATAGAATAGAATGTAGAATAGATTAGAATAGAATAAGAACGGAACAGAACAGAACAGAATAGAATAACGTGTTCATCCCAAAGTGCATGGCTAAATGTCTACAGAGATTCTCAGTCATCTTTTTTCAGGAGGCATCTGGACTTTCTTGTTTTTCTTTGAAGTTACTTCGCTTCTCATTCAAGAAGCTTCTTCAGCTCTGACTGGATCCACACAATTAAACTTGAATTCCCCCTTTGCCCACCCCCCTCCTTCCATCCATTGCGATGTCCGATCGCATTACGCTCCTTTCGTTACGGGAACTGCTCGGACTGTTCCAACACCTGAACAGCAAGACCTTGAAGGGAGGAACAGGGTCTCACAATCTCCGCTCTCCACTTGACACGTTCTTTTTTAAAAAATCTTGCAAGTAGCCAAAGGTTTCTGAACGTTCTTTTCTGGTCTAAAAACCACCCTTTCCGTCATTTCTTTGCAGATCACAGTTCAATACATCCAGGAAGACGGGGCGGTCATCCCCGTGCGGGTTCATACCATTGTCATCTCCGTGCAGCACGACGAAGGCATCTCCTTGGAGGCCATGCGCAAAGCCTTGCAGGAACACGTGATCAAAGCCGTGGTGCCAGCCCACTACTTGGACGACAACACGGTTTACCACCTGCAGCCCAGCGGCCGTTTTGTCATCGGAGGGCCACAGGTGCGCCTTTCGCCTCACACCATCCTGAAGGGTTGAAATCACATTCTAATATTAGATCCATTAAAGGTCGCCTTTGATGTTATCACCAGAACTTGAGCCCAAAAGTTGTGTTGCGGAGTGAGGCGTTTGTTAAGTAAATTTTGCCCCATTTTACGATGTCTCTTGCTACAGTTCATTGATTGGTACAGAAGAATTCTCTTCCCTCGATTGCTTTGACCAGGGGTAGGCCACCTTGGCTCTTTTTATGACTCGTGGACTTCAACTCCCAGAATTCCTGAGCCAGCTATATTGAGGGGAAAGGGAGAGGTTTCCAAGCTGAGCCATGCTGGCTCAGGAATTCTGGGAGTTGAAGTCCACGAGTCATGAAGGGGCCATAGTTCCCCCATGCTGGCTCAGGAATTCTGGGAGTTGAAGTCCACGAGTCATGAAGGGGCCATAGTTCCCCCATGCTGGCTCAGGAATTCTGGGAGTTGAAGTCCACGAGTCAT